CAGCAAATCTGTTCTTCAGTTTTTTCTCACCCTCCTCTGTGTGTGAGTAGGTGGTAGGTGCGAGTTGTGGATATAGTGTCTTATTTTGCTTGCTTGTCTCAATACAGTGTTTCTCTGTAGCTTTGGAACCTGTCTTGGAACTCTCTCTGTAGACCAGGCTGGTGTCAAACTCACAGAGATCTACCTGTCTCTGCTGGGATTAAAGTCACTCACCACCACTGTCCAGCTGATATATAGTGTCTTGTATAGCTCAGGCTGGCCTCAAACTCACTATGTAGCCAAGAATTGTCTTGGACTCCTGGTACGCTTGATACTCCTGGTTCTACCACCAGAATGCTAGGATGGCAGTGTTGCAGCACTATACCCAGTTTATGGTTCTTAGGATATAACTTTGGGCTTCAGTCTTCTTTGTCATGTACTCTACTAAACTGAGCTATAGCCTTAGCTTTGTACCTCATTCTTGCAAATGAATTTTCAGTGGCTGAAACAGTTGGTTCTGACTATCTGCTACCTGGTGTCAGCTGTCCCTATAGGGTCACTCAAGAAACAACTCTGCTTTTATCTTGTGCTATCTGCCTGGTCAGAAAGACCTACAAGGCTGGAATCTGCTCCCAGAGGTTTTATGCTTTAATATAACAGTTTTCTTATAGTTAAAAATATGCTCCAGTGAGTCTGCTAAGGAGACCATGCTGTCCTATGACCCCAAACACTTATTCTTTGGTAAGTATAGAAAAATAAATCAGCATCTCAAAGAAATACTTAGATTCTCATGATTCTTTCAGCATTATTGACCATAGCCAAGATATGAATCCATCTAACTACCTATAGATGGATGAATGGATAAACAAACTAAAGTAGATATGTGTGAATGCATGTATAAACACATACTGGAATATTACTCAGCCATAAAAAATGAAGAAAATCACCAGCTATTGTCGTGTATACCTGCTATTCCACCACTCAGGAAGAGACAGGGTAACTCAAGTTCAAGTATGTTTGGTTACATAGCAAGACTTTGTCTCAACTACACACCACCATCCCTAACATGCACACAGTACAAATGAACCCAAAACACACAGACATAGAGATGGAGAGCCTATTAGTCTACTTGCAGATGGTGTGTAAAATAAATGAACAGAAGCAAAATATAGAATGTTCGTTATCAGCATTGAAAAGATGACTCATCAGTTAAGAGTCCTTCCTGCTCTTCCACGGGCCCTGAGTTTGGATTCTAGCACCCATGTTGGGAAGCTCACAGCACTTGTAACTCCAGCTTCAGTCAATCTGATGCTCTCCTTTAGCCTCTGGGGTATTTTTAAGTTTCTAACTAGAATCTATTCATCTGTCTGTCTATCTATCACTCATCTATTCATCTATTTCTCTCTCTCTCTCTCTCTCTCTCTCTCTCTCTCTCTCTCTCTCTCTGTGTGTGTGTGTGTGTGTGCTAAATCATGCAAGTGGAGAAGTAGTGGAGGATGGTGAACAACCCAAGGCTTAATGCATGTCAGGCAAGCACTCTACCTAATGAGCTACATCCTCGGGTAATCATCTCTTCATTTTCTTTCTTGTTCGTGCTTTCTCGTACAGCTTTCAGTCCCCAAGTTTTGGCATATGGTTCTGATGCAGTCTAGGGATCTTGAAATGATACACTTTGGGGGGGTCCGGATTGGAATCACTTCCCCAGCCAGTTAAAGATTTTACAGGCAGGAAGAATCTGAAGCTCATCTACTAGCAGCAGAGAAATCTTAGGCACCAAAGACAGATTAAGCTGTTGAAGTGAGGTGCTGGCCATGGGTGAGGAAACCACACCCACAGTTGATACACAGAGAAAAAGACTCTTTGCAAAGCAGAGGGGAGCTGGGCTTGGGAAGCTGAAAACTCCAGTCTGTTCTGGGGTGAGGGGCTGGGAGTTTTAACGCCTCTGAAGAGCTTTTCTCCCCACTTGAGTTGGTCAGTTTGAAGACAGAGAGTGTTTACCTGATTAGCAACTGTGGCATGTCATGTTCTGAATCAGTCTTGAGCTCTGAGCTGGTCCATCAGCAGGGGACCTGCTGGTGGGAATAAAAAGCTGTCAGGCTTTTGTCTCAGGTCAGGAGGTTGAAGAAGAAGCTGGCCATCTTGGGGATTCACCACCTTCCCAGCCCAGCCATGGCCTTTCTCAGTTCTATCTGCCCCACCCGTCTGCCCTCCTTTTGTCTAGCTAGGATTACTCACCTTTTAGTTCTCTTTCCGCAGGTTTCATTGAGCCTCAAGATCAAATTAAGTCTTTTGTGTGTGTGTGTGTTCAACCCATTGCACTCTCACCCAAGAAACAGTTCTTACTGCCTGCTCACTTGGGGTCATTTAGATTCCTTAGGCCAGGCACTGTGACCATCCTTCACTGCCGTGTCCTCACACATGGCACATACCAGCTCCCAGGCAAAAATGACTGGTGATTCAGTCCTTACCCTTTCTTCTCCTTTCTCACCTCACCACCCATCACTCTGTTGCTGAGTATAGGACGTATTAGCTTCTTGAGACTGCTGTGACAAAATAATCCTGGGTAAGTTTTTCTTTTTTGAGATCACATCTATACTTGACAAAATTCTCAGACGTCAACTGTATGCCTGCCACATTTGGACAAATTCCCAGCGTAGCCCAAGCTCTTGTGGAGATACAGAACACTGGCATCACCCCAGAGAACCATAAATATTGTCTCCTTTTTTTCTACCATAGAAAGTATAATTTTCAACCAGGAAAGGTCACAGGCTAAACACGTCCAACTCCAATATATGATATTTTGATGGGCAATGGGGTGGAGCTTGAAGCATTGCACCCACCCTATAGGAATTCAGAGCGAGTTCCAGGACAGCCTCCAAAACAATACAGAGAAACCCTGTCTCAAAATACAAAACAAAACAAAACAAAAAAAGAAAGTGCACAAGTAGTAGAATTTTACTTGCTTTCCTTTATACCTGCCTTCCTTCCTTCATCTCCTTTAGTTTGTTTATTTTTAAAGAATTTTTTAAAAAATAATGAATCTCACTTTGTAGAGCAGGCTGGCCTCATACTCACAGATATCCTCCTGCCTCTACCTCAGGAGTGCTGGGTTTTAAAGAAACATTTAAACAACGTATTTTGATTATTTCCATCCACAAGTATTCAGTGTTCCCTCTGGAGCCCTTCTTCTTCTTCTTCTTCTTCTTCTTCTTCTTCTTCTTCTTCTTCTTCTTCTTCTTCTTCTTCTTCTTCTTCTTCTTCTTCTTCTTCTTCTTCTTCCTCCTCCTCCTCCTCCTCCTCCTCCTCCTTCTTCTCCTTCTCCTTCTCCTCCTCTTCCTCCTCCTCCTGCTCCTCCTCCTCTTCCTCCTCCTCCTCCTCCTTCCTCTCTTCTCTCTCTCTCTCTCTCTCTCTCTCTCTCTCTCTCTCTCTCTCTGTTTTTCAAGACTAGTCCTGGTTGTCCTGCAATTCACTCTGCAGATCAGGCTGGTCTCAAACTCACTGAGGTCTGCTCACCTCTGCCTAACAAGTACTGGGATTAAAGGTGTGTGCCACCACCGGTCCCCTTTTTAAATAGTGAGTTTAATTAGTTTTTAAAAATTAATTTAATTAATGACTTTGATTGTATGTGAATAGATGTGGAGTTATTTACTGGTCCATGGGCTACTTCTCAGCAGCTACCCCCCAGCAGTAACTAACTGCCTCATTACATCCAGAGCTATACATGATGTTTCTCATTGTGCTTTTTCTATTTATACATTCTAGGGTTCACTGGTCAAGGAACCCCTCACAATTAATAGGGGTCTTTCCACAACAATGAACACAATCAAGCTAACCCCCCCACAGGCATTCACAAAGGCCTATCTCCCAGAGGGTTCTAGATTCTGTCCAGTTAACAGTTAACATTAACCATGTCATACATTTACTGTGTGTCAGGTGCTCTGGGGGTGGATTCACAATTTAGAGTATATGGGGAGGTAACACACATAGCTGATCATATCATCAAGCAAGCACCTTGCATATCTTCCATAAGCCCTCTGTCAATGACATATAACCCCGGCTCTTATTCCAACCCTCTTTTGTGGGGAGGGTAGACAGAATTTATGCACAATATCATACACAATTGAGTGTACACCTTAAAGCACTTATCCCTACATCTCATGAAAAAAATAAGTGCATAATCGGTTTTGGAAACATAGAAGGAAATCTTGCTTTTTTCCTAGGGAACCAAGCAAAGCTGGGAGGCTCATGACATTCATAATGCACCAGGGCAAGAGAAGGAAACAGACTTGGTACAGGACTGGGCCTGGGCATGGAGACCTGAGAATATAGGTTCTATTTTAGGTAAATTAAGGACACCTATCAGTTCAAGGTGAGTCTTAACAGAAAGCTGGAAACTTTAGACTTGAGTCCAATGTGGGGAGAAGGCAAGGAAGAATTTGTGCCAGCGGCAGGGGAGGCTGACTTGGCATTTTTCAAAGGTCACTGTGGTGACTTGGTGGAAGGAAACTCACTCAGCGTCAATAAAGACAGTTTTCAAAGTCAAAGCAGTGAGGAGGGTGTGAACTGAGGTGAAGTGGCAGGCAGCTTAAGAATCACTCAGAAAGTTCTCGAAGGAAGAGATCCAAATGGCATTTGATGGACTGTGTCCCTGAAAACCTGGTGTGCTTCCCTTCAAACATCCACCCTTCAAACATTAGGGGTCCCATCATCACATTTCCAGGGAACCCTAAGCTTATCAGCTCTCTTTGTTCAGCAACTACTTTCGGTTGTAATTATGCGGTTTTGATATTTTATTAATTTTTAATTTATTGTATTTTGAGACAAGGTGTCATGTAGCTCATGCTAGTCTCAAACATAACTTATTATAGAGATTGACCTTGAACTCTCCTACCTCCACCTCCTTAGAACTGAAATGACAAGCCTACACCACCATATCTAGCTTATGCAGTGGTAGAATAGAGCTCATGACTTTGTACATGCTAGGTAAATACTCTACTAAAGCTATACCTTCATTACCTCTTTTATTATTTGTGTGTGTGTCTGTGTTGCTTTACAGCTTTTGCACAGCGGCTATGCTAATCTTCTCTGTATCATTCCAATATTAGTAAATGTACTGCCTAAGCAAACACCTATATTATATATCCAGATTACTTACCAAAATGTTTGGAGTCTGTTGTATGCCACACATTAGTGATGTAGCCACTAATAAGTTAGGCACAGTCCTTCCAATGATGGGCTGGGAAGACGACTCAATTAACCAAGTACATGCTGTTCAAGTGTGGGGACCTGAACTTGATCTCCAGAATCCACCCAGAACAATAACAAACAAATAGACAAACATCTGAGCACGGTAGCATATGTTTGTGATCCTACTGTGAAAATTTACTTTTGCCAACATTGGGAAAGACAGACTTGCCACCTGCATTAGAACAGCCAAATGCACTTAGTGCTCTGTTCTGCTTGCTAGTGGGATTCTGGACATCAAGTTCAGGTCCCCATGCTTAAACAGTCCATCATTGGAGGGTTTTGAGGGCAAAATAAGACCATAATTTAGAGCAGAGCAAGGTGGCATGTATCCAAAGGGTAATGTACTGTCAGTGTTTAAATGGAGAATGCCATGTAAATGCCATGTAAATGAGGCAGGGTTCAGAGTCAGGGTTTCTTAACCTAGATGCTCCTGACATTTGGAGTTGGATGATTCTCTATTATGAGAGTTGTAATTTGCATTATAGGATGTTAATTCCTCAGCCCTGTCTCTATTCATTAAATACCTTTAATGTTCCCCTTCTCTCAGTTTGATAACCAAAAATCCCTAGACATTTCTAGATGGCCCTAAGATCTTGGAGGAAATCAGTTGCTTTAACTTGAGAATTACTATTTTGGACAATTCCTTCATCATCCTTTTCCAAAAAGTCCATTATACTTAGATACACTTCTCTGGCTGCTGTCCCATACATTATTCTTACCTTCCCTTAATTTTTTTGTTGTTGTTCAAGTTATCCTCTAGCTCAGGCTTGTCTTTAACTGATCCTGCAGTTGAGGAAGACCTTGAATTTCTGATCTTTCTGTCTCCTTCGTACCCAGTTTGCACAGTGCTAGGGTTGAATCCGGAGCTTCATGCTTGCTAGATAAGCTCTTTACTAGACAAGGTATATTTTCTATTGCCCTGGAACATTATATGAATGAAAATTCAGTGGGCAACTATACAGTCTTGAGTTATACATTTCTGTATGCATATATGATTGCAAAACTTTGGGAACTCAGTGAGTCAGAAAGTTTTGTGAAGGGTGTCGCTCAGAGGAAATATTGAATAAATGTCTTTGGTTGTTACTGAAATTTAATGTCCATGGCTTTGATTTATAGTACCTTTTTGTTCCCTGATGCCTCACGTTCAGGTAAGTGGTCAGTAAACATTATTACAGTTGTTATAACTGTTGTTATGGGGATTGGCACTCAAACTATCTCCAGATACTCCATCATTGTCTCTCGACTTCTCGGCCTGACATTCTGACCCTCATTCATTCTTTTGTGGGAACTCCCTTCTTAACACTTCTCAGCAGATTCTTCTGAGCTTCCTCTAACTCCACCTTGCCTGTGGCATTTCAAGTGGGGGATTCACTTCCTTGTTTCTGAAATCTACTTTTCTCGATGGTTAGATGACAATACTATGAAAATCATTCCTTTCCCTTTTCAGTTTTATAACTTGATTTGACATTTAAAAGTTAGTTTTCATCCACATTGACAGTAAATTTATTTTTTTAATCAAAAGACTTTATTCAGAGGCTTGGGGAAAGGTGGGAGACATTCTGTTGTCCTCCACAATGTACATCTTAGGGTTTTCCTTGTTGCTAAGAGAGGCGGTAGAACTCTTAGGCATATATCCAAAAGATGCACATTCATACAACAAGAACATCTGTTCCACTATGTTTATAGCAGCATTATTTGTAATAGCCACAACCTGGAAGCAACCTAGATGCCCCTCAACTGAAGAGTGGATAGAGAACATATGGTACATTTACACAATTGAGTACTATTCAGTGGAAAAAAACAATGGAATCTTGAAATTTGCAGGCAAATGGATGGCACTAGAAGAAACCATCTTGAGTGGGGTAACCCAGTCACAAAAAGACAAACATGGTATGTACTCACTCATATATGGATTAGACATGGATCAGGGGAGTGCCAGCCTACAATCCCACTGCCAGAGAGTCTGGGAAACAGAACCTTCAACCAATGACTGATGGAAACAGAGGCAGCCAGCCACAGCTAGACACTGAGCTGAACTCAAGGAACCCAGAGACAGAGAGGGAGGACTGATGAGCATAGGCATCAAGACTGGACTTGTTTAACTCACAGAAACAGCTGACCTGAACAATGGGGACCTCTTGAACCCCAGACTGATGGCTGGGAATCTAGCATGGCACTGATCCAGACCCCCTGAATGTGGGTGTCAGTGAGGAGGCCTAGGCAATCTATAGGGCCTTGGGTAGTAGATCAGTATTTATCAAATACTGATACAAATGGACTTTAGGTGCCCATCCCACAATGAGAGATGCACTCTCATCCTGGATTCTTGGGGGAGAGCCTAGGCCCTGCCAGGGATGAAATGACAGACCATGGATACCCCCCATGGATGGCCTCACCCTCCCTGGGATAAAGAGTGGGGTTTGGGAAGCAGGGGTGGGGTGGTTGGTGGGAGTGTGTGGGAGAGGGGCGGGAGAGGGAAAGGGAGAGGGACCTGGGATTGACATGTGAAGCAATCTTGTTTCTAATTTAAATTTAGAAATTAAAAAAGATATAAATAAATAAATGTGCACATAAAAAAAGAGAGGTGGTAGATTTTTTTAATGTGGTAACAGGGACAGAGAGCTCCTTTGGTGAATCCTATTTCTTTATGTTTTCTAGACAAAAACACATGGATACTTTGGGAAACTTTCCTTAGTCATGTAGTCTGATCATCTTTATTAAGCCTGGTATCAATGTACACATTTGGAGTTCTCATCTCCTTCCTGACCAGATTTTTTGATATCTTTGATACCCAAGGGGCAACCTTCTTAAAAAGCACTCCATGGATGTGCTTGATCAAAATACATTGTATACACATATAAAATTCTTAAATGATAAAAATTTAAAGTAGAGAGTAATGGAGAAAGGCACCTGAAATATACTTCTGCTTCCACATGCAAGCACATGCATATGCACACATACCTGCATACATATATGTACTCAACACACACAGAGATACACACACACATATACACACAGACTCACACACACACACACACTCACAAACACACACACACTCACACACACACACACACAAGCGTGTGTGCACGAGTGGACTATCATACTTGATGCCTATAATCACAGCATGTGGGATGCTAAGATAAGAGAATTGTCATGTGTCCGGAATTCCCAACGAGGGCTACAAGTGTGAGAGACAGACCTCTGTTCTAGAGCCATCTAATAAGTGACTAGAGAGGCATGGCTCAGTTGAAGAGTACTTGCCTAGCTTGCATGAGGCCCCAACCCTACTCCCATACTCCACACTGCCTATGGAAGAGGGGAAATCCTAGCTTGGTGATGAATAGAAGTTATTTACATCGCCTAATAGGTGTTCAACAAACAGCAGTTATGATTGCCTATGGTGAAACTAAATCCATTAATTCTGCTCTGCTTGCTCTTTATTTAAAGATTTATTTTATTTTTAATTATCTCTGTGACTGAGTGTGGGCATGTACACGGGAGTGGAGTTCCTGGGGAGCTGGACGAGGGCATCAGATATATTGGAGCTAGAGTTCCAGGAAGTTGTGAACATGGGTTCTGGGGATTGAACCAGGGTCCAGCTTGCTCTTTTGTAAAGTCAGGGCACCTTTTGGACTTGTGCCCTCATGACTGATTGACTGGTGATGCATGGCAGACTTGTGGTTTCATGCCAGCGAAAGGCCTGAGAAAGAACTAGAACTCTGTGAACTCCCCAGTGCTGCTGCTTGGGGGAGCAATGTTTCTGCTTCTCTGTGTTTGCTTTTCTTAGGCTGGGAACACCTTGGTAGGAACTGAACTTAAGAGTTCAGGCAAAAGTCAAACTCAGCTCCTCCTGCTCTTCCTCTCCTATACATCCAGCTGCCATATTCTGTTTGGAAAACTCCCTTCCTCATGTAGCGAGCAGCCAGTGTGTTCGCAGCTACAGTGCTATTGGAGGCTAAGGGCTAAGGATGAAAATAAAGACAAAGACAGCGGCTCATTCTTGCAAGGAGAATGGCATTTATTATTACAAGAGTGGAGCCTTATATACCAAAGGCAGGTATGGTGGAAAAACACCTAGGTCAGAAGCCATTGTTCCCAGGGCCCTCCTGCAAAGGGGTGGGCCAAAAAACAGGAATTAGCATTTAGACAATGAACAGGAACTTGCATGCAGGCCTTACTGGGAGGAGGGGATGAGAAGTGTTTTGATAAAAGCCCTTAGTAACAAGCAGTCAACAGACCCCCATGGGGTAGGGTGCAACATCTTCACTCCCTCCTCACCTGGTCCAGTCAATTCCAGATTACCCTTCCTCCTTGGGTTCTGAGACATCTGCTCCAGGAAGCCGGACCCACTTCTCCACCCACTTCATGATGACGTTTGCTGTCTCATACTGACTTACTAGCCATCCTTCAATGCTGTGTTTGTTCATTTGTCCATCACCCTTGACATACAAGCTGCGACTACGATGGGGGGGGTCAAATGTGTTTACATTACTAGTGACATAGGTAGGGCAAGTAGACAGGTGAGTCATTCTTCACGAAACTGCGGAAAGGATGGTGACCTTAGGGGTGGGAGGTGGAGATTACTGACATACTTGTACCAGTCATAGGTTTGTGCAGTTTAGTTCCAGGTACAAGATGTAGGAGTCATATGACTCCCTGAATCCTAAGCTCCTTTGCCCTGAGCGCCTATACTCACTCTGCTTCTTAGAGATGGGTCATCTTAAATCTTCCACAACTGACTGTTGCAAGGCTAAAAACATGAAGATCTCCCAAGTGCCTGGATAAGAGGACTGAAGGATCAAGGAGATCCAATTTCTTACCCCAGTTTATTTTTAGTAATACATTGAGGGACGAGTCTGGGGAAAAATCTAAATCAGTAA